TCTCTCTCTCTCTCTCTCTCCCTCTCTCTCTCTCTCTCTCTCTCTCTCTCTCTCTCTCTCTTACATCACACGCAGACATGGTGAAAATCCAGAACACACACACGCACATCAGTCAAATGCATCCTTGGCAGACTGTCGGGGTTCAACCTCTTGATGATTCAGTGAAAGTCCGACCGAACAGTCTGGCACAGTCATGCTCTTTTTGTGGAGTTGTGTATAGCGAACATGACAACACACCAACACATGATAAAACATCTGATGTTCGTACTGTTGCCCTGGAGGGCAGTCCTCATGGTCGCGTTCCCACAACATCATTCTTACCTTTGTTGTCCGTGTCTTGCACATGGTCATCCTTACCTTTCTTTTGTTTGTTCTTACTCCAGAGAATGCAAGTGTACTCTTTGCAGACAGGTGTTTGGGTACTTCCCGCTCGGCCAGGCATACATGGCAACCTTGCTCCTGAAACAACGACAATTTGCTTCACACTTCTGTCTTCTCTTCTTCTTTCTTTTGTGGCTGCCTTCATTTCTTGTTGCCCTCTGTTCTTTTCTGTTCTTGCTGCTGTCTTCGGCAGTTGTTTTCATCTCCTGCCCTTCGCTCCCTTCCACACCTATTCTTATGTTTTTTGTTATCCCTACACTTGTAGAAATCACTAATGTGAGAAATCTAGCATCTGAGCCGTCCGGAACCTACTGTTGTCCTGGAGGGCAGTCCGCATGGTTGCGTTGCCACAGCATCATTCTTACCTTTCTTGTCCGCGTGTTGCACAGGGTCATCCTTACCTTTCTTTTGTTTGTTCTGACTTCAGAGAACCATTCTTACCTTTCTTGTCCGTGTCTCGCACAGGGTCATCCTTACCTTTCTTTTGTTTGTTCTGACTCCAGAGAATGCAAGCGTACTCTTCGCAGACAGGTGTTTGGGTACTTCCCGCTCGGCGAGGCATACATGGCAACCTTGCGCCTGAAACAAAGACAATTTGCTTCACACTTTCTTCTTTTTTCTTTTGTGGTTGTCTTCATTTCTTGTTGCCCTGTGTTCTTTTCTGTTCTTGCTGCTGTCTTCTGCACTTGTTTTCTTCTCCTGCCCTTCGCTACCTTCCACACCTATTTTATGTTTTTCGTTATCCCTACACTTATAGAAATCACTAATGTGAGAAATCTAGTGAGGGACCGTACAAGTTAGACGACTCAGACGTAACGTCAACCCCGGTAAAGGGGCAAGACACGCCCGGATCCACTTCTGGTGACGAACCAGCGGGAATGGACACGGGCGCACCTGCCCCCCCGTAGAAATCCTACCTTCAACACCATGGATGAAAGCCAGTTGGGATAGCTGTGAGGATGGAGGAGTTCAGAAGAGTAGCGAATAAGGCGGCGGAACGGAAAGACTGGAAGCATCAAGGGATAGTTATCCGAAGCTGGAACATCAATGGGTTGGGCAATATCGCAGAAAAAAAAGACAAATTGAACGACTTAATCAAGGGTCTGACAGTACATAACAACAAAATAGCGGACATTATAATGTTACAAGAAACCCATCTTACCCTCTCAGCTGAGCACAATAGAATCCGAGCGCTCCTAGCAAGGAAATTAGGAGGTATCAAAGATGAAATATGGGCTGCAGACAGTTGTTTGAGCACGAAAGGGACAGCAATTCTGGTCCCCAAATCCTCTCGTATCTACATGACAGGAAGAATCCTAGACAAAAAAGCTGACCCTAGTGATGGAAGATGGTGCATCATGCACTTCCAATGGAAAGAGGAAAAGTTTGTAGTAATCAATGTCTACACCCCAAATGACTCATCCGAGAGGACCACCTTCATCACCAATCTAAGCAGATTGATTCCCCCACTCTCAACTTGTATTGTAGCTGGAGATTGGAACGCCACAATGGACCCCTCCACAGATCGGACATCAAGGTCGTCCAACTCACTCAACTCACAAGAGGCGATACCAATTCAGAAATTGATGCTAGATCACAGCCTGATAGAACCATATAGAACCCTACACTCTTCCAAAAGGACATTCACACTAATTAAGAAGAATCACGCTCATCACACTGCCTTCTCAATTATAGATTACTTCTTAGTATCAGAGACTATGATGGGAGCCGTCAAAGGTGCTGAAGTCCTGCCTCTTGCACCATACTCGGGCCTAGACCATAAGCCAATCGAGCTAGTAATTAGCTTTGAACATTTTGTAAGAAAAAAGGACAGTTTTTACAAACTTAACAACTCCCTCCTATTGAGCCAGAATTTTCAGGGCGGGGTATGGGACTGCTGGCAAACCCAGAAAGGCACACGATTGCCCACTTACGATCGATGGAAATGGTTCAAAGAGAGCTACTCCGCTCTTTCCCAGTCAGTGGCAAAAATCTCAAGGAAGCTAGCAACCATGAGAAAACGAAGGAGACAGACGCTGAAATCAGCCCTAAAGATTGCTGAGACCAACCTAATCGACAATCCATCGTCCTCACTATACTCTGAAGTCTTTGAGAAAGCACGCGAGGAACTAGCGTGGTGGAGATGTTGGGACCTAAAAGGACTCCAAATAAGAGCCATAATGAATTAATACGAACTCAGCGAATCAATGTCGAAACATTTTTTTGCCCGTATCAAAGCCATTTAAGGGCGAGTATTATAAAGAGCTTGAAAAGTCTCACAACCCCCGAAGAAACAGTATCAGACAGCGAAGGAATGCTAGCAATAGCTAAGGATTTTTACCAAGAGCTCTACCAAGCCAAAACCCCGGCGCTTACCAAGAGCTCTACCAAGCCAAAACCCCGGCGCTTATCCCTCCCGGCACAAGGGAAGCAAGACAGAGGATGTTACAGTATCTAGAACAGACGATAACAACCGAGCAGGCGGAAGCACTAGACAAACCACTCACTTTGGAAGAATTATATCAGGCTCTCAAGAGTATGAATAATAGTAAGTCACCAGGGATTGATGGGTTAACGAAAGAATTCTGGGAGAAATTCTGGCCACTCCTGGGTGGCGACTTGCTAAACTTCTTCAATGATAGCTGGGCCAAAGAGGGTCTGGGAAATCGTCTAAGTAATGGCGTAGTCACTTTGCTGCATAAGAAGGGCTATAAAGAGGACATCAGGAATTACAGGCCTATTTCGCTTCTCACGCTGCCCTACAAGATCTTGGCAAAACCCCTATCTGCTAGAATCATGAAATTAACAGATAAGAGTTTCCATATCGACCAAACAGGTTTCATTCCGGGGAGGTACATACCGGATAACGTATTGACGCTAAATGAAGCAGCCAATAAGGTCAGAGAAAAGAGGATAAACACAGCCATCCTTTTCTTCGACTTTGAATAGGCGTACGATCAAGTTAACTGGACTTTCCTTAATGCAAGCATGGAGAAGATGGGAGTGGGACCAAACTTTAGGAAATGGGTATGTATCCTGTACAGCGATGCTGCAGGCTGTGTTCAAGTGAATGGCTTGTTGTCCGAAAGTTATCCAATCTCCAGGTTAGTACGTCAAGTTATCCAATCTCCAGGTTAGTACGTCAAGGTGATCCATTAGCCCCATCTATCTTCCTGTTCGGAATGGAAGCGATCGCGTCTTTCCTACACAAGGACCCGTCCATTCACAGACTCCCAGAGGTCAATGTGGGCTCAGCTCACCATATGAACTTCCCGACAGTAATCATGTTCGCAGATGACCTCACTGTCCTGATTAGAGCTTCAGACTCCTCATTCAGAACTTTGGCGAGAGCCATGGAAGCTTTCAGATTGGCTTCAGAGACGAGGGTAAACTGGAAAAAGACGGTGGGATGGTGGTTATCAGACGAGGACCTCCCTTCTATGCAAGGGCCCGAGGTGGCCATGACATGGGAAACACCGGACACTCCAACTTGCTACCTTGGTATCCTCATGACGATGGAGGGTCTGGCACCCCAAATGGCACAAAATGTCCTGACAAAGCAAATTAATAACCAGGGAGATGGGGGAACACTTTCACCTTACTAATTGGTCGAGCCCTAGTTCTTAACACATCAGTGTTTTCTATGATGTGGTATATAGCCTCGATCTGGACAATTCCGGACAGCTCGATAAAAGAACTTAACTGTAGAGCAAGGTCCTATCTGTGGACGGGTAATCCTAATAAAGAGGGTTGCATCCCTAAGATTGCCTAACCGAACAGGAACTATGCAAGCAGCTGAAGGGATGTCACAAGCGTGGTTTTAACCTTCAATCTAGGTTGTTTTATCGAACTTCGGGGACCCCCCTGACCGTCCGGGATGCCCGACCAGACGTCTGGTCGGACGTCGGACCGGACAGGGGATGTGCGACCTAGCGCAAAAAAAAAAAAAATAATAATGTAGCTTCTACCTTGCATAAGGTGTATGCCATCAAAATTTTGGCTCATTTGAGCCAATAGAAAAAAAGATAAAAATCTTTAAAGATTCTAATCCCCAACTATACCCCTCCTATCCCAACCAAAACCCCTCGT